AAATATGCTGGGGATCTAGTTCCTAAACTTCGAATTTTATATGAGACCTGTTTACGCTCTGGAATTTTGACCCCCTCTATGTATGATGCTCATGTGGTCTTAATAGCCAAACCAAGCAAGGATCCACTACTATGTTCCTCCTATAGACCCATCTCACTTTTGAATATGGATCTTAAGATCCTCACGAAGGTACTTGCCACGAGACTGTCTCGAGTTCTAACCAGTGTGGTGTCCCCAGACCAGGCGGGCTTCATACCCCATAAATCTACAGATATCAACCTTAGAAGACTATATACCCACACACAAATAGTTCATGATCACCCCGGCTCTAGAGCCATTGTCTCTCTTGACCTAGAGAAGGCATTTGATTCCGTAGATTGGCTGTACTTGCAGGCTGTCCTAACTAAGATGTGCTTTTGCCCTGTTTTCTGTAGATGGATCGAGGTTCTATATAGTCAACCTAGAGCTGCCATTAAAATGAGGGCTGCTCTCTCATCGAGTTTTCCGATCTTCCGGGGCATGCGGCAGGGATGCCCGCTGTCTCTGGGACTGTTTGCCCTGGCGATAGAGCCGATGGCGTTTGCCCTTTGCCAGTACAAGGCGATACAAGGCCTCTGTGTTGGTGGACTCGAGGAGAGGGTAGCTCTCTATGCGGATGACATGATATTGTTCCTCGCTGATATGGGCCCTTCTCTGACGGAGTCCCTTAGTATTCTGCAGATATTCGCCACATATTCTGGGTTGTCGGTTAATTGGAGCAAGTCTCGATATCTACCCCTAGATCCTATAGACCACTCATTGGTTTTGCCCACTGCACAGTTGCATCAGGTGTCCACATTTAAGTATCCGGGACTCACTATCTCTAATTCTGTCTCGGACTTCATAGCACTTAATGTTTGCCTGGTCATCACCCAATTTAGAACCCGCCTCTCAGCATGGAGGAATCTCCCCCTGTCCCTGATCGGCAGAGTCAGGCCAGTAAAGATGAAACTCCTTCCGTTTCTGCTTTATACCCTCCGCAACTCCCCAGTGTGGATCCCCAAAAAGAATCTTTAGAACCATAGACGCCCTGATCTCTGAATTTTTGTGGAACGGGAAGGCGCACAGGATTAAACTGTCAGTTCTCCAACTGCCATGGGGGGAGGGGGGATTGGCGGCTTCCAATTTTTATTGGTATTTTTTGGCGGGACAACTGGCGTTTGCTCATAGGTGGCTCATGGTGGGGGACCCAACTGGGGTATCCCCCAACCTTTTCTTCACATACCCCCTTGTGGAGAAACCCCTCACATAGTCACTTTACAATCATCTTAGACCCGGTAGCCTGGATCTCCAGGAACATACTCACATTGAATGATATAGTCCGTTATGGGGGCCTCAGTTCCTTTGAGAAGTCAGCATACTCATTGCCGTGACTTCTTCCGTTATTTCCAGTTGCGCCATGCCTTCTTTTCCCAGTTCCCTGGTGGCCGCTTGTCCCTTTCCCTCTCTGGGATGGAGTCCCTGCTTTGCACGGAGGAGCTGGTTAAACCCTTGTCTACCATATATAAATTGCTTTTCGCATAGAGGGGGAGGGTCCCTGGAGAGGTGTAGCGGGGCCTGGATGAATGACTGCCCGGACTTGGAGCCAAGGGTCGTGGAGGAGCTCTGGGGCACACCTATGACCACCCTGATCTCCGCAAGGGATAGGTTGATCCAATATAAAATTGTCCATCGTGAATATTACACACCGGCCAGACTTGCAGCTATGCGTTCTTCAGAATCCTCCAAATGCTGGAGATTCTCCTGTGAACCGGCAGACCTCATTCATGTGTTGTGGTCCTGTCCTAGAGTTGAGAACTATTGGAGGGGGGTCATTGAGGTGGCCACGAAACTATTGCAAATTCCCACTGCTATAAATATTCAAATCTGCGTACTGGGCCTCAATGATGATCTTGTCCCCTTGGTGGCATCCCGCACACTGCTAACATACCTGCTGTTCTATGCCAGGAAGCTCCTTATCCTCCATTGGAGGAAGCCGGAGCCACCTGCTCTGGGGGCTTGGCAATCACTGGTCAACTCATCCTTACCATTGCATAACATTACATAAAGCTACTTATGCTAGCAGAGGGTGTCCTCGAACGTTTGACAAAACCTGGTCAGTATGGATGAAGACCGACACTACACTAACGATTTAGGTAATCAATAGGGATGCACAGATACTTTTCGAGTACCAGTGCCGATACTTGGCATTTTCATGAGAACTACCAGGGTTGCAGTGGTTGCAGCTGGCACCTGGCTCTGGCACTCCACCACTGTCCTGAAATCATTAGTCTGCATTGTTTTAGAAAAACTGTCACATGACAATAAACAAAAATGTATCAGTACTCATACTTGTAAGTACTTGGCAAGTACCAGTACTCGTACTCGCAAAACTGGTATCTGTGCATCACTTTATTTATATTTATAAAAACAAAATCGTACATTAAAACAGAGATGTACAAATCCCAGGAGCTCCGTGTGCTCCTTACTAATGACAGCTGCCACCTAATTTTTTTATTTTTCTCTAGTCTAGTCTTGGAGCTCAAAAGTATCGGTACTTGTACTCGTACTTGTACAGAGTACTGTACTTGGTATCTGTGCAACCCTAGTAATCAATCATAGGAGTCTGCTCAGAGTTATTGAATCCTACTAGGAGTGCCTCGCCTGCGGCTTCTGACCTCCCAGAGCAGCCTGATGAGTTAAGTTCTCCATACACCGGCTCTTCTTAACGGCGTGCGGTTGGAGAGCGGAACGGATCCCATCAATTCAGAGATCCTATATGTGTCTGAGGGGTGGGGAAGGGTCATGGCCGGAGAAATGTTAGTACTGTGCTGTCTACTGTTAGATATAATAATCAGCATATGTTATGCTCCCATGTATGCACTTATCTGGGTGCTATGTTGGTGCCCAGATTGTAATGTTAACTGCAAAACTAAATAAAAAGATTAAAAAAAAAAAAAGAAAAAGTTCATTTTACTTTCCCAATAGTTCTCTTTTAATTCAGAAAGTGACAGTTACACTTTGTAATCTGGGCCTTGTGAGCCAGAGGACTTTGTTCCAGCACTGGTCTCTAGCTTTGGTACTTTGAGCCAATGAAGTCAGATCTTCACTCCCGATATGCATTTTTATTGCAAGTCAGTGACTCAGAAAGCACTTGTAATTCTTGCATAACGCAAATTGTATTTAATTTCCTTTAAATAAAATGAGGGCCTTAGGCTATTCTCTAAAGCATATTCTTCCCCCTAATTGGAGGCATAGCGTTCTGTTTAGGCTTTTCTTTTCCCCCCCCATATCTTTATAGGGTAAACATTGTTTTGCAGGTTGAAAAAAAGACAACAGAGAGCGCCTTGTCCTCGTGTAATACTGTTTATTAATCAAGGAACATACAAGCTGTCAGGATTCAGAGCACCCCCAGGTGGTGCTGGAGCCAGGTCCTGCAGTTCCTGTGCTCGCCTGCGGGTGTCTCCAGCAGCCAGGGACTGTAAGGAACCTGCAGCTCCAGTACTCACCTGCGGGTGTGCCCCAGCTGTGACTGATCATCCCATCACCTGGTGCTTCCTGGGAGGGTATTTAGGCCCTCCCTGCAGTCAGGAAGCTGGCTCAGTATTGCGTCGCCTGCACTTGACTGATTCCCATAAACCTGAACCCTGCTTCCTATCTGCAGACCTGTCACCGACCCGGCTTGTTACCCGACCACTCTCTTGGATCCTGTTCCTGTACCGTGCTGCTGCCCTCCTGTTAACGACCCGGCTTGTACCTGACCACTCTTCTTTTATCCTGAGGCCTGCCATATATCTGCAGGCCTGTTACCCCTCCTTGTTGCTTCCCCCTGGCTGTAGGTGTGTGTTTGTCCCAACAGTGGTTTATTACTTCACTGCTAAACCTGTGGGGGGTTGAGGGGGTTTGTAGTTTTGTTGGTGTAGCAAATAAACTGTGTGCATAGAACCCTATCCTGTGTGGGCATATTAATTTGGTCATCCTGCGTGGGTACCTGCATGTGGTGTGAGGACGCCTGTGCATGGTACCCTGACACAAGCTGACATAAAATACTACTCACATGGTAATCACTGAATGAATGGTACTAGGCAGACCCCACACAAAGCTGACTTGCTAGCCGATGCGTTTCAGGGAATATACCCCCTTCCTTAGCTCTGAGTAAGGAAGTCTATTCCCTGAAACGCATCAGCTGGCAAGACAGCTTTGTGTGGGGTCTGCTTTGTACCATTCATTCAGTGATTACCATGTGAGTAGTATTTTGTCAGTTTGTATGTTCATTGATTAATAAAACGGTATTACACGAGGACAAGGCGCTGTTTTGCAAGCAATACTTCTCAGTTGCCTTTTGATGGCAGCCTGCAAACCATTGTTGGAGAATATCATTGGGAGTCTGCTGAGCGCTGTGGTGTGCATTTTTCTTTTTTCTACCTAACTGAATTCGTAAAAGGCTTTTCAAAGGTCATCCAAATTCCCATTAATAGCTGCAGGTTATGTCAATGTATTTTCAATATTTCAAATTTAACATTTTGCCATTTGTTCCCACTGAAAAGCTAGACATTAGCCAGGGTCTCACAAAAATGAGGCAGCAAACATTATTTTATTCAACATGTAACAATTGCAAACAGTATAGAAAGTAGAAGACAGAATTTATTAGAACAGATACTTTGTGGAATATTCAGGGGGTTATGGATGGCTGATGTGACTGTAAAATATACTAGAATGTATAGCCTTATTTTGCTGCCTGAAAAGGGACTTGGGTTGTAGAGTAGTCTATTTTAATAGTGGCACGCTATTAAAAGTGCACCAAGCCCTATTCATAGACTAATATGCTAACATTTTAGTCTCAAAACAGACATCTAGCAGCAACGCAGTCTTCCTCCGTTTGGAGTAAAGCTGGTTACATGTAACAATACTAAGTACTTTTTAAACCTAAATGATTTATATGGGAAGCTGAAGTCAAACACATGAGTAATATTTCTGTGGGAAGGAGTGTATGTACAGTTTAGGAACCCAGTTACATATGTGATGAATCTCTGTTTATTACACGTCCATTTATACGGGAGAAATCTTGCATTTCCTCTTCCATTGCCATCATCTCTGGGTCACCTTCAGTATCTGATGACAGGTCAGAAATGCTGAAGTCAGGCACCTGGTAAGAGGAGATCAGATGAAAATTTTCAACTTATTAGGTCTAATATAATGTTAATCGCATTAATAGTACAGCCACACAAACCAATTTCTAAACTATTCACTATTCATGAATTCACTGTATTCATTAACTAGTTTTATAATGGCGCCTGACGTGTATGCGTTTCCTGTGTTGAGGATACTTACATCCTAAAACATGCATGCCTATATACAGTTTGCTGAATTTGTATAAGATAGGACATTAAAAACCTGATATGTACCTAACCGATAAAGTTCTATTTTATTGTAAATAATCTCATCTAAAACTAAGCTGGCCACACTGTACAATTGATGCCACTGCTAAAAGGAAATTGTATAAGCCTCTATTTAAGAGTCAAACTGATTTACAGTCTCAGGCCCCCACCATACACCCATGTAAGGCCCAAAATTATCTACATTTGAGCCTCTGCACTACATGGTTAATAAATCTATTTCTGTACACTCAAAAGTTAAGCTGGCTAAAAAGTTTTAATTAAAAGTCCAAGACCAGCAGTATTACCAAGACTTAAAGCTTTGAGTATTGGAAAATATATTTTAAAAACGCATGGTAAATCTTGACCACTCATTTCTTTTATTGTAGCAGTGTGTAACAGAAGCAGCAACTTAGCATTTGTTGTCTTGGGCAAGTCTCATTTTATTTTCTGTGTTTCTCTGGGTGTACAACCAGCAGGAAAGATCCCGAGTGGGGGGTCAAAGTCTAACACATGGGCATGGTTGTACAAGCCAAAAACAAGCAGTCCATTGCAATTCTATTTCTACAGATCCTACAAGAAAAAAAATGGTAGAGACTACACTTTTCACTAACTTACTGGATCAGTAGAAGTAGATGTGTCTAAAAGCCCTGAAAGAGTTGCTTTTATAGAAAGCTAAGAAAATACTCGTCTATAGAACAGGAAGGGGGTGTGACATCTACACCAGGATGTGTGGGTGCACATTACTTCCAGGCAGCCTTGTCATTAGCATGGGACATCTGACAAAAGAAAGTACCAACTGCAATTTTGTACTCCAGCACCCAGTGTTACTGTGCATTGTGGAAGTGAAAATTAAAAGCACCAAAGACCCACCAACACATGTACTGAGCAGGGGGTGCGAATGGGCCCATAGGGAATCATAAACAAACATTACTCTTACAGCGCTACACTTGCAGGATCCTGCACTTTCAAGTCTCAAACGCATGCATCTCCCCCTCTAGCCACTAACTGTCCTTCAGAGGTTCTAGTGACCGAGTAGCCAACAACTTGAACCACAGCAAGCCCCAAGGGGGGGAGACACACTGCCATCAATAGCAGCAGGTATAGCTCAATAAGGAGTGAAGTTTAAAGTCACCCACAGACCTATGGCAAGTATTCTTGTTGTATGGTATTTTTAAGCAACATCACTTTAAGCAGACAAACAGGTCTTGTCTTCCATGTTTTGGCTCACATTCTGAGCCAAGACCAGCAATAAAAATCACGCACCAGTATAAGAGTATAGGGATTGCTCCTTCCCACCATTACACCATTTACTTGCCAAACCAAGGCTGTTAAACTGGGTGTCATGAAGAAACTAGCAACTGAACGCATTTTAGTAGGTGTTCACCTAATACAGTGCTCTGCCAGATAGAGCTAGTGTGTGCGCACGCACATGCAAGAAGATTCGATGAAGCACTTGGCACAAAAATGTACAACCCTTAGAATACTGTTAACAGTCTAAGCCTGAGATTTTTTTAGTTCACCTTCACATAAGAAATGCAAGCAGCACTATAGCAGTCAAGTGAAACTGACCTATAGTGCCAATGTTAACATGGAATGCACAAACACCCAAACTTCTTTGCCCTTAGTCGCATAGAAGTCAGCTAGTATGTGGTGTGTACAGCAAGTTTTGCATTGCTTAAGCAGCTTTGACTTCAATAGCTTCAAACTTTAGTAGTATGGGAACTAAAGCAGTTATCAGGCCTTCAAAGCTTGTCACGCTAGACTGTTGGAAACCTGGCAGCTTGTTGAATGTATTATGGGTCAGTAATTTGTATTGAAGCCAGAGACAAGGAAAGTAACTTTAAGGTTAGCAAAGGGGCCTTCTTAAAAACACATTCCAATGTATAGTAGGTTTGCATTTTAACTAAACACCAACTCCCCCTGGGGTCAAAAAAAAATATTCTGCCCCGGGCGCCCATAACCCTGGTTACACCACTGGCTGCTTCCTACCAATCCTAGGTCAGGTTTTATGGCACATAAAAAGAGACACACAGCACATTTCTATGTACAACATTTACGTAGCAGATCCATTGCATCCTGGTATGCAGAGTGAACGGCAGGTAGTTTTAAAGCATATTACTTATAGCATGGGCAAGAGGAAAGTCATCGACAACAGCAAGTAATGCAAAATATTTATTAAATGTACAAAACAGCGACAGTGAACGGATTGAACAAAAACCACACATACAGATTCCACTAGGGCACAAGAGCTGAAAAGGTAGCATGCATTGGCCCATGTTAAAGGCCAAACTTTGAAATGACATACATTCTTGCAGTGCTATATGGCCTCAGTTGGAACAAATGAATCCGACAATACTTTAGATCAGTTCAAAACTACTTTGTGAAAACTACTTTGTGAAATGGATTAAGTGCAAAGTGACTCCTGAGATTGAAGCAAATTCATTCCTCTTTACTGGTTGCGTCTGCCCCAGCATCACCTTCCTCCCCACGTGGACCAGCCAATGAGTAAAAGGGACCTACCAGCCAGTTTAGAGGAGTGTTGTTAACCAAAAAGTCCATCACGTCATCCATGGAAGCCTTAATTTTTGTGAGCTTCTCTCTGCTGGTATGGATTAGGCTGTCTGATACTTCTTTATAAGAAGAGGCAGAGAGGAAGTTCTGGTATACATCTGCAGCCATGGTACTAACACTCTGGGCTTTGTTCTGGACATTTTGAGGAAGGCCTTGGACACTTGAAACCAAAGACAGACATGTAGTTTGTAGTTGGCGAGTCAGATTTCGTGCGATGGTTAGAGTGCGGGATTCAATTTGCTATGAACAGAACAAAAATATATGTTAACTCTTAATGCAATGAAACCCATGGCTCAGTACATCATGTAGTGCTGGAAATGGTACTCACCTCAGTACTTTCAGACTCTCCATTAGTTTGCTGTCCTGTGCTCTTGGTCCATTCCACCCACTTATTGTACAGTGTCTCCTGTGCATCATTCATGTTCTTTCTGGCATATTCAATCTTAAAAACCAAGATACCCAACATTGTTAGCATTATAAATGCAGGCAGAACACTAAATTTGCAGATTTAATTATGCAGGGGGTGGTGGGGATGATAAAGGACCCAGTAATGTCAAAAGCACACATCAACCATTAGCTACATAGCAAGTGTAGCTGGTCAAATAATCTTTTGCTTTTACCACAATACGCACGAGTCGTTTCCCTGCCTAGGAGGCAGGTAGATAAGCTGTCCCATTACAAGACTACATACTTCTCTGAATGGAGCATACTTCTCTGAATGGAGTAACAAGACTCCAGTCTCCCAATTCAGCACCTAGAGAGTCAAGTTCCCAATCACCAGGCCACAGTTGCTCTTCTGGTTGTGGCCATGGGTCACTCATGTAGAAAACCCAACACCATTAAGTACAGAATAAAACCCCTCTGACAATGTAAGCTGTAGAACTAACTCTTTAGAAGACATGCTGCTAGTTTGTTCTTGTTAGAATATATGAATGCTATAAATGTTTTAACACAAGCATGCTACAGATGTGAACTAACCAGGTCAACAGTGGTCTGAAGTTGAGTAATGGCCTCCTGACTTTTGCATTTTGCATCCCTGAATCTTGTCAAGGCTTGTTGGTAAGCACGCTTGCGGGCCTTAGTGGAGAGTGATCCCAAGCGAACATAGTAGCTTGCTTTCTCTGTTGATACCTCAAACCCTTCTGTTTTTGCACCCTCAGTTGCTAAAAAGGAAGACACATTAAAAACAGGTTAAAGTTAGATTTTAAAGGCAGATAATACAAGTAGGGAGTTGGTTGCCCACAGCCATTACAGCTTGAAGCCAGAAGACTCTGCATTTGGTTGGTTTCTTGCCATGAATAGCAAACAGGAACTGTGGTAAAACCATTTGGCAAGAGTGCAAATGTTATAAAAAACACTGCCAGGGGGTGCTCCACAGTTGCAATTTGTATTATACAATGAATGTAGAAACCCAAACACCCATAGAAAGATCAGATTGTCCCAGTCTGAGTTTACCAAATGTCTAAAATGATTTTCACAATAGGCCAGTAACTTCAGAACACTACCTCAATTACCCCACTACCTGATTTAAGGTGGCAAAGTGTCAGGTCAGCGGCAAAGAGGTTAACATTAGCTACCCCAACACAGTAGTTAAGCCTTTGTAATTAAGGCTAGTACTTACCTAGTTCTTCATCAGTTGGTGGCAGATATTGTTCCAGAAGAGTCTCAGACTTGGTAAGCGCAGTATCAACACCACTGCTCATCCTACGCACAGCTCCGCTCCCAAGAACAGTGTTAATGCTTCCATTTACAACAGCCTTGGTCATCTCCACACTGCCACACACAGCTCCCTTTGTCTTATCAACCACTCCGGTTATGCTCTGGATCACAGCATCTTTAGCATGGATCACAGCATCTTTAGCACCAACAACCACGCCAGAGGCATTAGCAACAATCTAAAAAGGAAAAGAGTACATTTTAGTCACAAGAGTTCTTCCACTGGTTTATTACAGACAGCAAGACAGTATTTGGGATAATTTTACAGTTTAGCAAACCCAGCATATGACTCTCAGAAAGCAGATAAACCACCACATAGATAGCCAGGCAGACAACAGTACAAAGTTGCATTTTAGTTTGGCTTCAAAAATTGTAGAGCGGCATGAAACCATATCAACGTCTTCCAGTGTAAGCATAACGGTTTTGAATGAAGAAAACCCAGCCTATAGTAGGCTACTGCTGCAGCCAGGAAAGATCCCAACAAAATTAGGATTGACCACGCTACCGGACTGCCTCTAGGATGTAGAGCCAGCTGTGCCCACCTCCTTTCCGGTCTATCCCTCCAGTCAGTTCTGGAGGATCAGAGGAATCCCTGCAGGGAGCAGGGCTGTTTCCACAGAGACTATAACAAACGGCTCATCACTCAGTTTGTGATCACTAGAGCCAACAGTGTCTCATGTCAGCTCCAACTAGGGAACGAGTTCATTTCTCTCCCCCTTCTTTAATTATGGAAGTCACTGCTTGTTTCTGAAGGTCCATAGTCAAATTCTCATGTTTAAAAAGCATTTAAATTAAACATTTGAACATGTAAGGGTTAGCATCCATGTAAGGTTTTTATTGCCAACTGTGTCCATGCTGGGGAGATTAACCCTCCCATTTTCTGGGGAGGGGCAGAATGGAAGCATTGGGTGCTTCAATACTTCCATCTCAAAGAGTTATTTTTATATTCGTATACCCAAAAATGCAACTATATTACAGTGTAAGCTTTTGTTAGTCTGAGCATGAATTTCTCAAATCAGTAGAGGGCACAATGTAAGAGCCAGCCGGTAATGATTACTGATTAATGATCAGCTTATTACTTGTTCTAAACTACAGGAGTGTTTAAGTAGCGGCAACACTTACCTTGTCACTAGGCTGATACAAAATAGGCAGTCTCTCTTCAATCTTATCAAGTCCAAGGCAAGCAAGGTTGTTCGCTATGGCAACTACAAGATGGAAAGGGGAAAAGATTTAGTCTGATGCAACAGTACACTGCTCTGCAGTAAAGTTCAGGGTGACTACTGAACAACACTGTCTAGCTACATGACATTTCACCTACTTCCTACAAAAGCCGCTAGGAAGCCAAGCCGTCTGGCTCTGCAGGGTTTACAGCTACAGAAAATACTCATTTCTGCCAGTTAGATTTTTAGGAGACTGACTGGATTTGCTTCAAATTGCATGCTTAAAACATTTGACCATGAACATTGTCAGATCTATGTGATTGATCTAGCATCAGAAGTTTCACTAGCACTAATCTACATAAACAAAGTTACAGCAAAAACTGTTTACTGGAATAGTAAGAAAACACAGGAAATATCAGTTTCCATTGCTGCCTTCTGAAAATACCCATTGCCAGGGAATTCCTAAAATTATTATAAGGCAAGCCTTTAGATCAACAGTTTTTTTTTATCTCCTGATAAAGTTCTGAAGCCATTGGAGCAATAAGACATTGGAACCAATCTTTAGAAGTCATGTCAGAAGTCTCCACACTGTAGCAGTGCTCAAATGAAACTATACTAAACTACACAACCAGTTACATTTTTAGAAAAAGAAACATACTTTGAGGTTCCAGTTTGTATCCCAAAGACAAGACAGAACTGCACGTCTGTATAACCCTATACGATTACACTTAGAAATGGTGCAGACCCTCACATTTAGAGTCAACATGTAAATAACCCCTTCAGAAAATCTGAAGAGACCAAAATGAGTTCAGCAGTTAAACTAAACGTCAACTTTAAAGCCTTATAGACAGTGCCAGTAACCTAGCCTCACAATAAGTGGCCACCTCCCAAACCAGGTTTCATCCATCCATTTTGCGGTAAATAGTTGCCACCCTCCAGAAGGGACAGTGGCAGTGTCATGAATTCAGAGATGATTTGAGGATCTACAGCTGAGTGATACACAAATAAGTTACATTTGTTAATAGTTAGGGTGATCAAACGCATTTAAGATTTTTAACACCCGAGTTTAGTGTCACTTTAAAAAAGGAGAACTATGAGGAGAGTGCTTTTCACTCCTCATAGTTCTAGCCGACCTGTGACAATGAGACTGTCACAGGTCGGCTCAGATCGGGAGGTGAGCGAACACATACCAGCGCTCGCTCACTTCTCCATTCTGTCACAGCTCTCTGCCGTGACAGGGGAGGGGCTGGATTCCCCCCTCCTATCCACCAGCGCTGACTGGCAGATCGGACGGGGAGGGTACAGCTGGCTCTGCCTCTAGATAGGCAGAGCCAGCTGTCACTCATGCAGCTGGGCAGATCCAGACATAAAATTGTCGGGATCCGCTTCAGCGTCTCAGTATACTGTGGCGTCTCAGTATACCGCGAGCTACAGCTATACTGAGCTAAGGTTGCTAGTTTGCATCCTCCTGTTACCCCAAGGAGAACTATGGGGAAAAGCCTTAACGCCAAAGTTCTCCTTTAAGCTGACAAAGACCCACATGCACTTACATCTCTTATCTTCAAGCGATCTACTCTATACAGAATCTGACTTATGGTGCATGTATAATTCTGCTCCAAACATCTAGAAAAACCAAGCATTTATTTATTTATTTTATAGGCATGTCATGTGATTTGGAACAAACAGACAGTTCCTCAAATAGGACTGCAAAGGGGGAAATACACTAAGCTTTTAAATAAAGAGCTTTCCACTACAGCTTTTAGAAGCACAAGGACTTGTGGGGGTGTAAACCTATAGAGAACCAGCCCCAGCTGATAATCATGCCACTCTGAAATACTAGTAATCCCAGCCTAAAAATCGGAAAAACCGACTTTCTTCATAAAAAGAGCCATTGACAAGAAAAGAGGATAAAGGCGGTAGGAAGATAAGAGTATTAGGCTATGACAGCTCACGGTAGAAGCAGCCAGTCTAGTCCCAGTTACCTGCTGCTGCTGTTGCTGCTCCACTAGCTCAGCCATAGTGTTCAACCTACAGGATAGAAACAGTACATTAGGGATGGAGGCTTCAGCAGTCACCCATGAAGATACCAGAAAATACCATATACAACCACTACAGACAGCAAACAAGTGACTACAAGTGCCCATACTTACCAGGATAAGCTTGACCAAAACAAGAATTTATTATTTTTTTTAAAATCACACGTTTACTAGTGATGTCCAGTTCCTGAACAAATCGTTCTTGTGAATCGATTGTCTTCAGTGAACCGGATGAGTGGATTCCTCTGAGTGAGCTGATCCGTGTGAAGCAGCTCAGTATAGAATGAATAGCAGAGCAGCATTGCAAGATGATTCTAGTGCAGAGCTCAGCTTCTGCCAGCCCTGCCCACCCCCTCCCTGCAACCAATCACATCTGTGAACTAGCTACAACTCTCTAACAGATCTGAGTCACAGCACACTGAGTCTAAAGGTGCTCCTACACCTGACTATCGTACGATAATCGCAGGTGATCCCGTGATCGTACGATAATCGGCAGGTGTATGGGCAGCGTGCGACCGCATTTACTGTACAGTCACACGACTTTCCTCTTACGAGCATGATAGAAAATCCCGCCGAAAAATCGTACGATTTTTGGCATTTTGGTAGCGCGATCGCAAGACGAAAGCCGCACAGGACGGTGTGTGCAAGCACACACTGCCTGCTCAGCATTGCAGACATCGGCAAGCCCTCCCCTCAGTGAGGAGGGCTTGCGATGATGGCAAGTACGATCTGCCTGTCCAAGATGGGCAGGTCGTACGAAAATTTTAATGACCTTACAACCATCGCACAACGAAAGTCGTGCGATGGTTGTAAGGTGTATGGGCAGCTTCAACTGGTGAGTCAGAACTGAGAAGTTCGGATCTTGAAATTAATCGGTACACCTGATGAGTCGCTGACAAGTGAACTGAAGCTAAGGAGCTGTCTGACCCTTCATAAAAGATTTGAAATCAGAAGACTCAGATTCAGAGAAGGGGGGCAGCATCAGTGATCAGTGTCTTGGCTCAGATGTAACACGTTTGGTTTTATGTCAGACCAGCCAGTCTATCACATTAGCCAATGTCATCACGTCTGGTGACGCACGATCAGCTGACAGTAAAAAGCGTGTTCCTGTGCATGCGCTCTGCATTCTGATGAGGTGATATCACATTGCAAGCAGTCAGATTTGTCCATAGTCCTTACAGCGTATGGGTGGGAAGAACAATAGGATTTTAGTGCCGTGGGCGCAGTACCCGTGGTAGTAAATCCAATCACTATTGCGCTCTATACACGAAGAACAAATCTGACCACTACCAATGTGACATCAGCTCATGAGAATGCGGAGCGCATGCGCAGTAACATGCTTTTTACTGTCACACCTGATCCCGCTACACCAGACATGACATTGGCTGATCTGACATAAACCCAAACTTGCTACATCTCTGAGCCCATACACTGATCACTGACCCCCAGGGGCTGCACCCCTTCTCTGAATTAGAGTCTTCTGATTCAGATCTTTTACAAAGGGTCACACAGCTCCTAAGCTTCAGCTCACTTGCTTGTCAGCCGACTCAGCAAGTGAACTGAAGACCCGATTCATTTGACAGATCCTAACTTCCCATCTCTACTACAGACATCAAATAGAAAACACGTGCCTACAAGCACTCATACTTACTGGACCAAGCTCGACCAAAACAAATCACAAGATCACCAAGTACTGAATAACTTGCTGTGGGCTGTTCGCTCATTTATAGGGCACCCGGCCACGCCCCTACAACATAGACCCCTCCCTGCTATCAGCTAACCGTGAGACAGCTGCAGTGACATCATCTGCATTGCTCTACACGTGGAAGGGCGGCTGGCTATAGCAGGCAAGGGTCAAGGATGTAGGGGAGGTGACATGTCTAGGACTTGTGTAAACTGAAAGTGCTCATGGTGACATCCAGCGATCTGGCATTAACTAAGGCTAGGTTCAGATGTGGGCAATCCCAGGACTCGCAATCGCGCACAGTTGCACACAGCGATTGCCGCGCTGCCCAATTGATTTCAATGGGGTTACATCCGCACAGCAATTGCTAAAAAAAAGGTACAAGTACTTTTGTTTGCGACACAGGACGCACAGCTTTTTCAGGAGCGGTCGTTTACAATTGCATGGGCGGTATCGCGGAGGGAAACCGCATAATCTTTCCAGCACAGCTGGAGTGCCATTGGAGCGATCGACAGCTGTGGGCAACTCAGTGACCGCGCGATTTTGTGCGCGATTGTTGCGCGGTCACGGATGGCCCAGGTGTGAACCTAGCCTTAAATGGAGCCATGGTGTGATTTGCTGGAGACATTGTGCTGGTGTTCAGTACTTATCTTCTTCTTCTTAAGGGACAAAGTGCAACTAAAGGCCAAACTTTTTTTTTTTCTTTTAGAACCCCAGTCAGGTTTTTAATACTGTCTGTGTCCCCATTAGGAGGAATCACTCTCTCTATTTGTCCTGCTGACGGTTAACACTTAAAGTGAAAGAAAATTAAAAAATGTTGGTTGTCATCAGAACAGGAACAGATGAGAAATCTTCTAGTGGGGGACACCGGTTCTGGTATCCCTGCTGACCACCAGGGATTTTTCTCTATTTAGAGGAATTTCCTGTCACTTCTTGTTGTGGCTATTGGACAGAAAGAAAAGGCCTTTGGCAGTGAAAGGGTCCTTAAGGGGTTAAAAGCAAGGTGCATCTTTCTGACCCGGTTTCATGTTACACCCATATTTAGGGGCCGTTCACACCACAAAGTCTGCGTTCCAGAGCGTTTGGCCTCTGGAACGCAAGCCGGCCGGCTCCCTGCGTTCAGGGGCAGGAGGGGGCGTGGCGGTGCATTGAAGTCAATAGCACCGCAGCCACGCCCCCCCCCACCCGCAGTGCGATCGCCCACACACGGAACACAGGCACACTAGTGCAAACATGCTGCAAGCACTATTGTGTTTAATTGCATGGGCGGTATCGCGGCGGGAAACCGCATGATCTGCCTGGCGCGACTGGAGTGCCATTAGAAAATAATGGCACCGCCAGCGCAATTGGCAGTGGTGGGTGATTCCGTGACTGCGCGGTTTTATGTGCAATTGCCACACGGTCACGGATCTCCCAGGTGTGATCCTAATATGGAGCCATGGTGTGATTTGCTGGAGATTTTGTGCTGGTGTTCAGTACTTATCTCCCGATCACCTGCTATATGATAGTCTTCTCAGGCTATAGTCACGTTTGTATTTGTTTTACATGTTTAGTGCTGTAGTAAACATACGATAATCACGTGTACAGGATGCTTGCATGACATATAGTGCACTCATTCCTTTCTTCAATCAAACTGAAAGGATAAAGTGTAACTGCAGGCCAAAGTTTTTTTGTTTTTTTTTCAGAACCCCGGTCAGGTTTTTATTACTGTCTGTGTCCCCGCTAGGAAGAATCACCCCATCTATGTATCCGGCTAACCGTTTACACTTAAAGGGAAAGACAATTCCAATTTTTGGGTTGTCATCTGAACAGGAACAAATAGGAAGGCTTCTAGTGGGGACACCGGTTTTGGTAACCCTGCTGACCACCAGGGATTTCCCTTTCTTTAGAAGGAATTTCCTGTCACTTCCTGTTGTGGCTATGGAAAACTGAAGGGAAATCTACCCAATTGGACAAAGACTGCAGGAAAAAAAGCTGACAGGTAATGTACCTCCCTTACTCTATCCAAAAATGTTTTGGCTTCAGTTCTACTTTAAAGGTTAGGTTCACCTTTCTGACCGTGTTTCATATTACTGCCATATTTAGGGTGTAACATGAAACATGGTCAGATTGCAGACCCCCCTCCCACCTATCTGAATTGCGGAATTTTTCTCCATCTCCTTTTTGAAAATGGCGCGGCTGTGCATGGCTTGACCCACACAGTCGCATTATCCAATCACAGATCCTCTGACAGTGAACAGGGCAAGTAGAAAGCAATGGTTTTATATGTGTCCTAGCCGTGATCTGCATTGATCCAGTGTGGACAGGTATGAACAGGTCCTTAGTGTTTAGCTGAGTATACACAGTACCAATTTCAGCTGGTTCACACTTCTGCCCTGCATCCCTCCATCAGCTGATTGAAGGAGCTGGTTGGGAAAATCTCCATTCGGGTATTCTGACAACCGCAATGCAATGCACACAGCAGGGGATTCCTCCATTTATGCTCATAAGTGTTGATGGTGACATCTGTTATATTTTCTTTGTTCAGCTCCTGGGTTGAACGAAGAAAATATAAGCGTGTATACCCGACTTTAGATAGGATTACATCTCAACCCATATTGTATCACAGCAGCATGTCAAAGCTGAGCGTATTCCAGATGCCAATTGATAGGTATTTCAAATTCTTTAACCTTTTAGCTTCCTAGATGTGAGCGGGCAAATTTAAACGTCCCGTTAGCCACTCCCACGTGGCACGTGCAAGTGAGAAAGTGGCCAAATTTAAAAAAGGCAGTGATGCCTGTTTACATACAAGCGATCCGCCGGCTATAGAGCCGGCAGATCACTTGTATAAGGTGCCGGTCTGTGTGTCCCCCCCTCCCACAGTGCCGCTGGTCCCGGGCTCCGCTGTGCCCAGTGCGAGCCCGCTTAAATGTTTTAAAAGTCCCCACCCATACATACACACATGCAAACATGCGTCGGGTGCATATCCTTGCGAAAACGATGATTACGCCCATTACGCCACACATGTTACATATCGCCGCGAACGTCGCAGTGAGTTAGATAGCAATAATTCTAGGGCCATCAATCACTGATAACACTTAACTGATGAGCGATTACAGCATTTTTGGGCATGGTAATTTTTTTGCGATTTCGCGGGTGCGCAAAATTTTTACGCTTGACATGTTTGGTGTCTATTTACCTGACGTGACCGCGTCTTTTATATTTTACCAAAAATATGGGTAATAATAATTGTTTTATAACATAATGTCAAAAACACTTTTTTTTTCAGAATTTTCAGTAATTTTTCCTTAATATAGTA